GACACAATGAAAGAACCCTCTATGCATGTGAAAATGGCCAGTCTGTGGTGCAGAACATGATAACAGGATTTGATCACATTTGCTTTGCTTTGGCGTAAAGAAGGCTTAAGTGAAAAAACTGAAGATATGTTCGAAGTCCACCAAATTACTTTTTTTATAAAACCTGTATCCACTCCAGGTCGCATGTGACCAACGAGTGAAAGTGTATTTTTTCCCAACGATATGAGGGGGCAATTAGGATGTCATCAAATTTCACTCAGCCTTCTCTCCCCCCCCTGCTGCACCCAAACGCCAGTCGCATCCAGTTTGGACCTCGCCCGGATGGTATCATCTTCACCCCCAATGGGATCCAAATCTGGGCAGTGCACTAAGTAATTTAGCACTGTTACCACCACGCCACACACATCCAAGGGTACCAATGGCTCTCAGAGTAAGCCGGACATCCCCAAATTTACAAAATGTAGTGGGAGATGTTGTGTAAATTAGACGCGAAGTGTTAAGACCTACTCACTATGGATATGAGTAATATCGTCCATTGCAATGGCTACCATGAGTTTGCCTCATTTACACTCTCACTAAGACTGTGAAATGGGAGAGGCCTGGCTTGTCCTACAAGTCATTCCTGTCATGTGATTCACTGAACCTAGTGGCAGTGTGTCAAAGTGGTAAACATTGAGGAAACAATCGCTGCACAGAAGTGGGTTTTATTGGTATTGTTGTCAGGGCAACTTAGTAGAACGCACCTAGTTCAAAGTCATGATTCTCAGCATCAGACAGTGGACTTGGTACATTCTTTGACGAGTTCATAGCTTGGTACGGCGAATGGCAAAACTGACTGATGATGCCGACTATGATGCCGGCGAAACGTCTGATGCTGGGAATCATGACAACTACTACGGCAGACGACTTCGGACTAGGTACATTCTACCAAGTCGCCCTGACAACAAGACCAAGTTGCGAAAACGAGGTCAACCCACTTATATATATCGAAATGAGACTACCACCACACCAGAGGCCACAACAGCTTGGTCTTCATATCTTCAATCGCTGTACAGCCCGGTTTCGGTTATCGTTGGGGATGTTGGTGACGCACAGACGAGAGCAAAACTGCGGACAACCTTGGAGGTAAGCTTAAGTGAAATTCAATGCTAGATTGAGTTTCAAACATATAAATTATCGTAGGAAAATTAAACTATCAAACATTACTATTTCGTCGAAGGTACGTAGACTAAGATAGTGTGGCCCTTGGTATGGTCGCCGTCTCCTTTCGATATATAGAAGTGGATTGAACTCGTTTTCGCAACTTGGTCTTGTTGTTAGGGCAACTTGGTTGGAGGCACCTTGTTCGAAGTCCTCTGCCATAGAAGTTTGCATAATTACCAGAATGAACCAAGTCCACAGTCTGACGCTGGGAATTATGATAACTGGTATGGCAGAGGACTTCAGACAAGATGCCTCCAACTAAGTCGCCCTGAGAACAAGACTCAGTTGCGAAAATAAGGGCAACCCATGTCATGCTATTTCTTGCTTATAAGTGGGTTTCACATACTACTGGCAGTTTCGAAATACTACTTATAAACAAAAAATAGGTCATACGTTTTTTTACCTTATTTTCGCAACTTGGTCATATCGGCAGGGAGACTTTTATGCAACAAAAGGAGATCGCGACTCTACGAAAGGCCACACCATCCTGGTCTTCATATCTTCTATTTTTTTAAAAAGTCAGTTAGTAGAATGCTACAGCAAATGCTACAGCTTCATCTACAATGTCCCCACAGAATGTGATTTGGGAAAACGCCTGAGCTTCGTTCAATTTCACGTCTGCTCTGTGACTCAAGGACATCCGTGGCAGTCTGGTGTTATGCTCAACGTGTCGAGCTTATAGACTGTACTGATAAGACCCGGGTTGGAGTCCCGCTAGGCTTTCTGAGGAGACCAATGCTAGGTTGAAACTAAGAGCTCTTTGGGATGCAGGGCTCAGTAAAAATTCAATGTAAATATCAGCTCTACTCATATTATTGTGGGGACTACCTGTTTCATTATCATCTCAAATAAAATGGAGGAATATATCTCAAATATCAGACCTTCTACACCTTCCAGTTCTCATTGACTGGTATGATCAAAACCTGACCTAACTGAATACAATTTTATTGGTATAATGTTGTCAGATCTTTTTAACAATTTACCTTATTATTAAGTTATATAACAGTATTGTCATTATTTATTTTTTTAATTTTTACTATTATTGTTGTCATTATTTTTATTATCAGCAATAGTAGTAGTATGTTATGTTAAGCGTTGCAATTAGCGTAAAATCCAATTCCAGCAAACATTCGAACCAGGCCATATACTGGACTGGCAAAGGACTAATTCAAGCGGGACGGTGAGACCTGTTTGAAGCCTGGCAATGATGAGAATGATAAAATATGAAAAGAAAAGTTGGTTTTTGAGCGATCTCCTGAATTAGGAGAGTTAAACTCACTTACATTTCAAGTAAAACTAGGTGGTGTAGGTCGAACTTCCTCGAAGACGAAGGCAGATTCTTCTTGGCCAGCTGTCATTTGGCTCTATTCTAATCATCGGTTTATCCCAACCTGTACTATAAATCATCCAAAGATATGAACATTTTTAGGGAATAGAAGGATTTGGCAAGTTGATGTCACCTGGTCGTCTAGACGTGTATGTAGACATGCTTCTGTTTGTGCGTGTGCATTCAAGGGTATAGAAAGGAACTCAGACCAAAAGTAATTATTTTCGTATTGGAGTAGAGTCTCGTGACTACCAGTAAATCAGTAATATGAGATGTATTTACTCTATTTCGTCTGAGGTGATGAAGGACTGGCAGTTGAATTTTCCCACAATGATATGAGTTGAGCTGACGTTTCCATTCAATTGCACATAGACTTGCTTTCCCAAAAGTTGTTCATCCAGGGTGGACGAGAACAACTTTTGGGAAAGCAAGGCTATGTGCAATTGAATGGGAAACGCCAGCTCAACTCATATCATTGTGGGAAAATTCAACTGCCAGTCCTTCATCACCT